AGTTTAAAATCAACATCCACAAAAAAAAGCCATGGACTTAACTGTACAGCTGGTATGTCGAATATACCTCGTGAAACCCGATGACCTAACGACCCGTGACAGTCCAGTCTTGAAAAACGTCGATTTACCCCTTAAGCTTGATGATTATGATATCGCAATATCAAAACAGTTTCAATCATCATCAAAACGAAGACCTCTCGTGCTACCTGCAAATGAGTTACATCCAAATTATCTGATGAAACCCGATGACCTAATGTCCAATGATTGTCCGGGCTTGTAAAACGTTAATTTCCATCTTTACGGTGATCATTATTACATCGAAATATAAAAACAGTGTCAAACCACAATCATCATCATCCTTAATGAAAAAAGCCATGGACTTAACTGTACAGCTGGTATGTCAAATAAATCTCGTGAAATCCGATGACCTAACCACCCATGACTGTTCAATCAACGTCGATTTACCCCTTAAACTTGATGATTGTGATATCACAATATTAAAAACGTTTCATTCATCAACATCAACGAGAAAAACTCTACCATGAACTGTACTTTAGCTTTATCTAATCTATCAGATGAAACCCGATGACTTAATGACCTATGAGAGTCCTGGTTTGTAAAACGTCAGATTATGATATCACAATATAAAAACTGTTTCATATCATCATCATTAATGAACGTGCGAAGGACTTAACTTTAGAGCTGGTATGCCACTTAAATCCGGTTAAACGCGATGACCTAATGACCCATGAGAGTCCAGGATTGTAAAACGTCAATTTTACCCCTTTACGAGATGATTATGATATCGAAATATAAAAGCAGTTTAAAATCAACATCCACAAAAAAAAGCCATGGACTTAACTGTACAGCTGGTATGTCGAATATGTCTCATGAAACCCGATGACCTAACGACCCATGACAGTCTTGAAAAACGTCGATACCCCTTAAGCTTGATGATTATGATATCGACATATAAAAACAGTCTAAAATCATCATCATCATCAAAACGAAGACCTCTCGTACTACCTGCAAAGGAGTTACATCCAAACTATCTGATGAAACCCAATGACCAAATGTCCAATGATTGTCCAGGCTTGCAAAACGTTAATTTTCATCTTTACCGTGATCATTATTACATCGAAATATAAAAACAGTTTCAAACCATCATCATCATCATCTTTAATGAAAAAAGCAATGGACTTAACTGTACAGCTGGTATGTCAAATAAATCTCATTAAACCCGATGACCTAACCACCCAAAACTGTCCAATCTTGGAAGACGTCGATTTACCCCTTAAACTTGATGATTGTGATATCACAATATTAAAAACGTTTCATTCATCAACATCAATGAGAAAAACTCTACCATGAACTGTACTTTAGCTTTATCTAATCTATCAGATGAAACCCGATGACCTAACCACCCATGACAGTCAAGTCTTCAAAAACGTTGATTTACCCTTTAACTTGATGATTATGATAGCGCATATAAAATTATTTTCAAATCATCATCATAAATGAGAATGCGGTATTGTACCTCAGCTTTGTCTGATTTATCAGATGAAACCCGATGACACCAAATATTGTACTGACTTATTGAAATGCCCCGTATTCAAATGTTATCAGGAAAGCGTGTTATTGTGGATCTGTTCATCAAATGCGACGATATTTTTCAGCATATGTTGACCCTTACTCCACAACCGAAACTTCCCATTGACCTTACTAAGCAGATCAATCAGGAGGTTGAACTTATTGACCCGCAGTACTATTGGTTCTAGATTGGATGTCACACAACTTGTTTATGTTTAAGCAATGTATCCAGGGGGTTGAAACGGGGAAAGGCAATTTGCCGGCGCCTTTGCTCTTACGGAACGCCGTTCCGCCGGGGTTGACAGAAGGAAGTCATCAACTGCCATTAACCTCATTAGCCTCGGGTGCTTAACCACGGATGAAACGTTTCCCTCTTGTATTATCCTGTTTGTTTTTGCCTCTTCTCCCCGGTGGAAAATCCGTTTTTCCCAGTGTGTCCCGTGTTCTTTCTAAATTTAAAAAGTCCCGTTAATTGGCCCCTTTCCGCCCCGTTTGACGCCATCCCTCATCCCGTCCTCGGTGGAAGAGGAGAAAAAAGATCGCGGGCTAAACGTTCCTTAATGAACCGGGCCCTAATCTACCCCGGACGATCGCCAAGGAGATGAAAGGGGTCTTTCAACAGACGGCAGACTATAAAGGGTGGCCCTATTGCGGCCGCTGGCGCCTCGCCCGATGGATTTTGAACGCTGCCCTCACGGGATCGACGGGACAGCTGGCCGACAAGTGAAAAACGCGCCGTTTAAATTTATTTGACAACAAAAAATTAAAAAATAACCAAGCATGACGAACATGCAAAACCGCACACAGACATGACCTACAACCTAGTCCCATGAAATACTCACAAAGAATCAAGCTTAAACCATCATCAGTTGTTACTAACCAAGGCTAAACGAAAAGAAGAAAAGATCAAAAATTATATTTAACATTGCCACATAGGTTCAACACATGACACCAAATATCGGGAAGCATCGGTTTCTTAGTTATTTCATTACAACAAATAATTTTTCAAAACTGATGATGATGGTATAAAACTATGATTATTTTATGATATCCTCATCACCATTTAGGGGAAAATTCGACTTATTATAAGTTAGGACAGTCATGGATCATTAGATTATCAGGCTTCATCGGACAGAATAGGTTTACAAGGGGTTCAGTTAAGCTTTGGTGTTTTCTCATTGATGTTGATGATGATTTGAGTCCCTTTCATCAAGGTAGAGGCGTATAATAGACTTTCTTCAAGACTGGTCTTGAATCGTAAGGTCATCGGATTTATTTTACGTACCAGCAGGTACGTACCTAAGCCTGGGTGTTGATGATGATGATGATTTGATACTGTTTTTATATTGTGATATCATAATCTTCAAGGTAAAGGGAATGACGTTTTATCCAGTCAGGACCGACTAGAATCGTAAGGTCATCAGATTTATTTGAGATTTATTTTCTCATTGATGATGATTATAATTATCAAACTGGTTTTATACTGTTAATAATCTAATCATTAAGGTAAAGTTGAAAAAATGACATTTTAAAAGTCTGGACTGTCATGGGTCATTAGATCATCGGGTTTCATCAGACAGTTGGATATACCTGCTGTACAGATAACACAGATAGGTTTTCGTATTGATGATGATATGATGATGATTTGAAACAGTTTTTACATTGAGATATCGTAGATCAAAGTAAAGGAAATTGACGTTTTTCTAGTCCGACCGTCTAGAATCGTAAGGTCATCGGATTTATTTGACGTAGCAGCTGTACAGTAAAACCTAGGTGTTTTCTCATTGATGATGATTATGATTACGAAACTGCTTTTATACTGTTATATCAACGTAAAGATGAAAAATTGACGTTTTACAAGCCTTGACAGTCATGTGTCATTGGGTTCCATCAGATAGTTTGGACACATACCAGTTGTACATTTAACTCGAAGGGTTTGCACATTAATTATGATGATGATGATGAGTTGAAACGATTTTTATATTGAGATATCGTAAGCAGACCTTTCACAAGCCAGGACTCTAATAGGTCATTAGGTCATCGGGTTTCATCAGATAGTTTAGATATACTTGCGGTACAATTAACCTGAACAATTTTCGTATTGATGATGTTGATGATTGAAACTGGTTGTACAGTGTGATGTCATAATCATCCAGGTAAATCGGTTATATTGACGTTTTACAAGCCTGGGCAACCATGGGCCATTAGGTCATCGGGTTTCATCAGAAAGTTTGGATATACCAGCTGTACAGTTAACTCGAAAGGTTTGCATAGTGTTGATGATGATGATTGAAACGGCTTTTATATTGCGATATCATAATTATCAAGATAAAGGATTAGATGCGGCGTTTTATTAGCCAGAAAGATTAGGACATGGCTTAATCCTTCTGGTTTAACGATTAAACTGGAGACGTCGGTCGTGCAGAATGGCCGAAGTTTTTAAATATTGATGATGGTGATTTATATCCGTATTGATTCATAAAATTTAGCTTCATTGTGAAAATTTAAGTTTTGTAGGCTTGGACGTTCTTGAAAAATCGTGTAGATTATTTGGTTTTGGAAATTTATGGAATACAACGTTGGTATAAATAGGCGGGAAATTTTCTGTATTGATGATGATGATTTGAAGCTAGAATTGTCCTGTGTTATTGTCATCTTGACGAAATTTTAACTTATATTGACTTGGGCCGTCTTGGAACGTACCGTAGGTCACAGGGTTTCATTGGGTAGGTTGGATACATCGCTCGTAAAAATTAATCGAAGGCTTTTATATATTGATGATGATGTGTTGAAGGTGCGTTGATACAGTTTATCGAAATTCTTTATGGATTTTGTTTTTGTTTTATGGACTGTCTTCAAATGCCGTGTTGATGATTTGGTGTAGCGATTTTGGTATTACATAGCTGGTAACGCTGGCCGTGAGTTTTTTTAAAATATTGATGATGATGATGATTTGAAGCTAGATTTGTCCTGTGTTATTGTCATCTTGATGAAGTTTTAACTGATATTGGCTTGGGCTGTCTTGGCATGTACCGTAGGTCATAGGGTTTCAACGGATTGGTTGGATACATCGCTCGTAAAAATTAACCGGAGTTTTTTATATATTGATGATGATGATTTGATGATTATATGGTCGTACTCGCGCGAAGGTGGGCTTTTGTCCCTGTAGAGAACGTCGACGAGGCTCATCCGCATAGGGGTCAAAGTTGACTTCTATTGTTCCCTCCCACGCTGCATTTTTTAAAGCTGTTCCGCATTATCTGCCGTTGATCTGTTCCGCTACTGATTTTTTTTTTCATAGTTATTTTTAAAATAACAGGCATATTTTAATTTGCTTAGGTCTACCCTCGTTTTTGTTTATATCAAAGAGTTTTTTTTTGTTTTTTTTAATTCGGCGTTATTGTTTGAAGGTGAACCGACCGCTCACGATGAAGAAAGAAGGCATACAGACTCGCAACCGCAAGCTTAGCTCCAAGTCGAAAAAGAAGAAGGGCTCCGTCGGCGGGCCCGGTTGCCTTTCCCTCTCCGGCGTCATGTCGGACATGATGAAGCCTCTGGACGGGGTCACGCCGTCGACCGGATGCTACCAGCAGAGCCCCGTCGTTCACGGCCACCACGCCGGCTGGTACCAACACCAGCAGGGTATCCACCAACACGGGATCCATCCCTTGATCTCATTACCACACACCTCCTCACATTTGGTGAGTGTTGACCTCTGATTACTTTTATACTTGTGATGGAACGGACTAACCACGTGTCAATCCAACACATCCGTGGGATTAAACATTGGATCGATCCAAAACTTCGTCCATCAACCAACATCCATTAGTACCAATAAATTTGTCGTCCATTTGTCTAACCATCCCTTAACAACATCCATTGGTTTGCCCAACAAACCGACATCCAACATGAAATCCATTTGTCTATCCATCTCCACCATCCAACCATAACCATTCATTAGTATCAACCAATTTGCCAAGTAATACCATCACACATCAAACTTGCTCCGTTTTTCTATCTACCATCCAACTTTCTATCCATTAGTCTATTGACCTTCCGCTATGGACGAACCATCCCATTTTGTATCCAACATTCAACTTGCCCTCCATTTGTCTATCCACCATCCACTATCAAACATGCCATCCATTTTGCATCCAACATTCAACTTGCCCTCCATTTGTCTATCCACCATTAACTGTTGAACATGACGTCTATTTGACCATCCACCATCTAATGTCCAACTTACCGTCCATTTGTCAATTATCATGTACCATCCAACCACCTATAAACCCACTTGTCAGTCCACCTTCCATTGGTACTAACCAATCTGTTATCCATTAGTCTATCCATCATCCACCATGCGCTTTTACAAATGTTTCTTGATCGAAAAAAAACAACCCAACAACTGACAAAGTCTTCTTTTCTATTTCAGGCGTCGACATGGCGCGGGGACTACAGTTGGCCCGACAAATACAACAATTAGAAGAAAAAGAAAAATGTACAACTGTCTGTACATTAAGCTTAAGGAGGGAAAAGTGGGAATAGAAGTTTTTTTCTTTGTTATCCGTTTGTGCCGTACCTACGGCGAAGAGAATTTCCCGGGTAAAGCGCGGAAAGGAAAAATGTCACTGAAAGACTTTTTTTATACAAAGCAGACGGAGAAATTTATGTAAACGATTTAAAAAAAGAAAGAAAAAGAATGACATTTGTGTACCATAAGCGAGGGTCATAAAAAGAGAAGACAGAAGGGGAAAGAAGAGAAGAAAAACAGCGCTGGACAGTGCAATAAAAAAGTGAATTTGAAAAAAAATCTCACTTTTTTCTTTTATTATTAATTAATTTATATTTAAAAATATAAAATTTTTTTGAGATTTTTATTTTGTAAATAGTTCCTAGTTCTGTTTTTTAATTATGTGGATATTTGAATAAACTGAGCGCTGTTTTTTTTATTGTAAAAATTTTTGTTTTAAACATTTGTGTTCCTATTATTTTTCTTTCGTTTTTTCTGAACATAATGGAAAATCGTGGTAAAATAATTTAAAATAATTAAAATTAAAAAAATAAGAATCATGTTGAGAGCACCTTGATTGTAAATACGAACACCCCGTTCCTTGTTCTCCGATTAATCATTAATTGTTATATATATATGAACAGATTTAAGAATATATAAAATAAAAAAGTGAAAATATATATTTAAATAAAAATAATTTTTTGTGAGAAAACAACCGATAAAAATGTGTATATAAAGAAAAGAAAGAGAAAATAGAGGGAGGGGTGGGGCCTACCACGCCCCGGAGCGAGAGTGGGGAGTGAGGACACGCCTACATTGCGACGCAAGCCACGCCCCCACTTTTTAAATCGTCCTATTGCGCCTATTTATTCGAGAAAGTTTATTTTATTTTTATTTTATGCAATAAGGAAAAAAGTTTTAATAAAAAAACTCCTCTCTCTATTTTCTCTTTTCTTTTTTTTTAAGGTTTATGTTTTGTTTATGTTGTAACAATTTTCCGTTCTTTTTTTAAATGAAAACCTATGTCTGTATATCCCCATCATAATTTATTTAATTTTAAAAACCAAAATCATTTTAAACATAAAAACACTTCGGCTTATATTTGTTTTGTTTTTCTTTCGTTTGCGTGTGTCTCTCCAGAAAAAGAAGACGAAATGTAAATAAGTGTATAGTTTTATTTGTGATATCCTTACAAGATATATAAATGTATAAATTAACTTGGAAAGTGAGAGAGAAAGAGAGAAAGAAAAAATGTGAAAATAAGAGAGAATGCTCTAGTGCAATTTAACCCCCCTCCCTTGTCCGCGTTTTGAGAATGACAAACCCCACCCGCACCATCTCATACTTTAATTTTTGTCAATTAGTTCTCCAAAGAAAAAAAATCAAAACCAAAAAAAAAATCAAAACAAATTTTTTCTCTTCACAAGGACCAAAGCCAGGCGTTTTTCTTCTGTTGGTGGAATGTAATTTGTAAACACAAAATATAAAAAAATAGAAGAAATGAGTGAAAATATTGTAAATTTTAACGAGTAAAAGGAAATTTTAAGAAAGCATGTAAAAAACTATACTCGATGAAATCCACACGAAATTTTTTGCAAAAAGCGTAAAAACTGAAAAAGAATGTAAAATACAATCTTGTGATTTATCCGTCCGTCCTCTCTTACAGGGGAGGGGCGGGTTTGGAAAATGAAAAACGTGTAAAAAAAACTTCAAAAAAGCAAAAAAATATAAAAAATAAATAAATGTGAAAAACGTTGTGTAATTTTACAAAAATGTTTTCTGTTCGCCTTTTCCTCCACGTCTTATTACCTAACCCATGGCAAAAAGTCGAACTGACCTCGCCTACATGCGATTAGCCACGCCCAGACTTAAAAAAGCAACGCATTATGGATCGAAAACAAACTTAATGACCACCAAAGAATAAAGGTTAAAGTTAATAATTTCCGTAACTTTGTTCTAAAATACTAAAAAGACCTATTAAAAAAACATCGACCATCAGGGAATTACCATAAACCACGCCTCCTTTCGATAAGTCACGCCCTCTGATCAAAAATACCACTGAATTTCTAAGACAGGACATGTAATAACAAACTGAAACAAAATTTCCAAAACAAAGGAAAAAGATTAACATTAAGTCTGAAATGCGAGACTTACCGGGCTCCCTACACAAAAAGACTTTCTGCCAAATCGCGATTCAGTTCGATCGTCCAAAATCTAAAAAGGTACAAGTTTAACCACACGGACGTAAAAAACAGCAATTATATAGTAAACCACGCTCATTGATTCTAATCCACGTCCTTCTAATTTCACACTTACAAACAACCTAATAAAATGTACTACTTTTCCCAAATATTAAATTGAAAATGAAAATATTTCAATTTGAAAAACGAGAAAGTTTATTTTCAAAAAACAACCCAATTGGGGTAGTCACGCCTACTAGAAATAAGCCACGCCCACTTACCTTAAGGCACGCATATTTGTGATGTACCATGCCTACTGTTAAACACAGAGATGTTAGCAAAGATTATAAAAATATAATCTTATAAAAACCTTCATAAAAATACCAGTTTCTATCAAACCACGCCTACTTTCAATACGCTATGCCTCCCCATCTTAAAACACGCCTCCATATAAATTAATAAAACTAGCCAAATGTTAAAAATGGGTTATTAGGTTTTCAGAAAAGCCTAGTTGACAAGTCAAATACGTTAAAAATAAACCACGCTCGTTCGTGATTTACCTGTAAAAATAACGCGTCATAAAAAATACGACAATAAAACCAAAGTTACTATGAAAAATGTCTACTTCCAATAGGCTAGACCCATAAAAATAAGCCACGCCCACTAAGATAAACCACGCTTATTTGTGTAGTGTTGGTACCTGTAAAAATAAGTCGTTTTGGAAACGTCAATAAAACCAGTTCGCATAAAAATAAAGATACGCTATATCCAATAAAACAGTTATCCATGCCCACTTAAAATAAACCACGCCTACTTGCGATAGGCCTTATTTACTATAAGTTAAAAACCAGCCAACCCACTTACAATTATCAAAGCCCCTCTGCGAAGTACTTGTAATTATAACTCGTTATAGAAGCATTACAATAAAACCAGTTGCAAAACACCACTTTTCATAAAAACTCGCCTTCTTGTGATAAACCACACCCATTCCGAATAAGCCACGCCCATCATAAATATGCCACACCCCTTATATTAGCCTACACTTTTTAACAAAACCATATTTCTACGACATTTCAGTCTGATAAAACAGAAAAATGATTAAATTTTAATAGAACCATAAATAGACCATCAGTCTATTCCATTTTAAGCCGCCCTCAATGTCAAAAGAAAGATTTTTACATCGTCAAAGGCTTGTCACTAAATAAATATGACAGCTTATGATCAATCCCTTGTTTATATTACACATGAACATTGGACATACCAGACTGAAAAGTTCAACTAGTTTGTTGTAAATTTTTTTTATTGTTGTAAAGGCCAAAGAGGAAAAATCTTTCTATGGCCCGCCAAGTATTGCTGTTATATGATATTTTCCAATTTGTTTAGACATAGATAAATAAACATTTCTTTTAATAGCTAAACGATGTTGTCAAGGTTTAAACATTCCGAAAAGTCAAAGAAGGATGAAAAACCTCGAGCCATCCTAGCCGAGGGAACCAGTTTTTCGAAACGAGCCTTGTAATGGGAAACTCGGTTCGGACGGGCTGGCCGTAAAACTCGTACCGCCGGATTCCTCGGTTGACAAAATCGGGCAAAATGAAAAGACCGTAAATTCACTCAACAAACGGCGGCAGGAACGAGGAGGAGAGCGAAACCGGGCGGACGCAAAAAAAGTTGAACAAAAACAGCGTGAATTTCAATTCACACTGAATAGTCGCAAGCAGCTTCAAGCTTTAAATCTCCAAGCCCCGCCCACTATGAACTAAGCCACGCCTATTTGTAAAAATAATTTTAAAACTTAAAACAAAAATATATTGAAATTAAATTGGTTCCTATAAATTCTTCTTTGAACAATACCCACAGCGAGACAGTGCGGATCCATCCATGGATTGCCCATAAAGCAAAAAAAATTACGATAAACCGACTAAATTTACACTAACAATAACTTACAATAAAACAGACTTCTGGAGAAACTGAAAGAGAAATTTTAACAAAGTTTAAAGATTCATTTAAATGACACTGTGAAATGCTGCTTCAATCAGTCGTAAGTCACGCCGAGAAACTTTAGGCCACACCTACCTGCAAGTACCTACCGTAAGCCACGCCTACAAAAATAACCGAGGCCGCGAGATACACTAAAAGAAAAATTGTAGTTAAAATTAAAATAGTGAATTTAGTAAAAATTAAATTTAAGGTTATACAAATAAAAGATCAGACTTTACATTCGCCCACATTCGATAAGCCACACCCACTATTTTCTTGCTAATTGACCATTTGACTTTTGAAATGCGTTAATAAAACAAAGGCAATAAATTGTCTGAAAATGAGTTTCACAGGGTCAGCCGAGTATGGCCTATACTCAGTAACAGATCGTTAGCACAGGAATTGTTCACGGTTTTATTCAACTTTTGGCAATGTTTTCTTTTTTTTGCAACAAGCCACGCCCAGTTACGATAGATATGCCACGCCTGCTGACAAAAGTAAAGAAAAAGTGAGCTTTAGTTTAAAAATAGTTTGATTTAAATAAGCCACGCCCATATACAATAAGCCACACCCACTTAAACTAAAAGAGAGATTTTATCAAAGATTAGTAATTGATTTTCTTTCTAATTGACTATTTGACTTTTGACATGCGTTAAAGATCGTCAATGCAATAAACTGTCAGAAAAATGGGGTTTCGCAGGGTCAGCCAAGTATGGCCTATACTTCCAACAGATCGTTTGTGACGTAAACAGGGAATCGTTCACTTTTTTAATTAACTTTTGGCAAACGTACCATTTGGCATAGTTTTCTCATTT